GAGGGACGGCGGGGGAGGAAGAAAAATCAGCTTTTCCAATCTCCTCCCCTCTGTTCCCCCCCGCCCCCGTTTCTTTTTTCTCTTGGAAGCTCTTGGGTGTGAATCGCGTTTTCTTTCTTCTCGGCAAAATGGACCCTGCGTCTCGGGGGGGAGGGGAGAGGGTGGGGAAGGAGGCGGCGGCGGCGACCGGGTTTATTTTTCATCCTGGTTTCCTCCTTCCCGCGGCTTCTGCGGGCAGCCACGGCGGGCAGAGCTCGGGGCCGATCGCCCGCCCCAGCCCAGTGCCCGGCTGGGTTCTCCGCGCGAGTCTGCTGGCGGGACTGCCCGTTCCCCGCAGCATCGTTCCCTGACCCAGAAGCACCGCCGAGGACCCGCAGCCGGGCCCGGAAGAACTCTCACGGCGCGCGGAGGACCCGCGGCCCAGGCAGGCCCCTCCTGCGGGGCCCGCGCGGCCGGGCCGAAGAGGAGCGAGACTCTGACGGCACTATTTTGGCCGAGAGTGCGCGGGCCCGATGCGGTTTGCGCCCCCCAAGTCGCCCGGAATATAGGATCTTGCGGGGGTGGGGGGTGGTGGCAGTTGGAAGACGCTAAGATGGCGCTGGGTCTGGCCCGTCGCCAGGGCTGGTGGCGCAGTTGCTCCGCGGGCGCCATCTTCCCTGGCGTTGCGGGCGGCGCCCTTCGCGGGCGCTCCACTGGTCCGGGACCCGTGAGGTCCGGGGCGAGTAGCAGCCACGCTCCGGGTTCCGCAAGTTGCTGCGGGGGCCAGGGCCGCACTTCCGAACTCAGGGACCGCATTTCCTTGTTCTCCCCCATGCCCCCAGACCCAAAAGACCGCCAGCACGGAGGGAAAGCTGCATCTTGCTCCATGAAGCTGATGGGTTCCCTTCCTGCGCCCGCATCCCCGCGGCCAGCATTGGGGTGAGGGGTTCCCGTCATCTCTCCTACGACCTGAAACCAGACGGTTTTGTGTCTCCTGGCCTAGCTGGGGGCATGGCACCGAGGCTTTTCCTTCATCCTGTTTCAGTTTTGAGAGTAACGTCAAACCAGGTTACAAAATTGCAGAAGTGAGTCCAATAACGTGGTTCTCTGTAGGGTACCCTCTATTAGTTTTATTTTTTAGTTGGTCATTTTAAAACAACTCTGGAGAGACATCTAGTTGTCAAATCGTGAGAAGGTAATGGGATCCAGTATTTGAAACTTCTTGTTGGCTTTCATATTACTTATTTCCAGTGGTAGTGAATTAAAACAGTTTTTTAGAACTCTGATCTGAAAAATAAAACTCGCTTTGAAACGAGAATTTTTTTTTCTTTTATAAAAAAAAAAATTGTTCTGTTTTGGGTCATTTCTTCAATATAAAGTGTTTCCTTACAAACATCCAATAAGTATTCATCTGTCCTGTAATAGTTCTATGTCAAGAGAAATGTGGGTTTTGAAAAGATTGAGAGGAGGGAAAATATAAAGCGCTGATCTGTAGGAGTCCACAGAAGTGGAAAGTAAATCATTAAATTCAAGTAACAGTGGTACCAGTAAGTGTGTCCTTGTGCTTTAAAAAACTATGTAGTGGATGTTTTAGAAGCATAAGAATGACCATATATTGAACACTTGTATGCCAAGAACTGTGCTTGGTGCAGTATTGATTTTATTATCTCTATCAGGGAAGGAACTAAGGTTAACCAAGATAGATTAACTGTTCAAGGTCTTAGCAGTTTTAAATGGTGGAAGTGACATTGGATTCCAAAAGCCATGTTCTTGGCTCTGAGCCTATGGTTTCTAAATCTGAGCATTAGAATCCACTGAGGGGATGTTTTTTAAACAAATTTGCAACATCACCTCTCCATTATTGGTTAGGCCAGTTGGATTTTCTCCAAAAAAGTCTAACGTGTTAGGTAATCTCAGTTTTAAGATGACTTTCAACCTTTTGATGCTTTTAACTCTCTCCCAATTTTGAAATCTGGCCCACCCAGGACCCCCTAAATCTGAATATGTGGGAGTCAGTGTTATTCCAAAACTCTCCAGATGATTCCAGTGTGACACAAATCCACATTTCACTACTACACTGCACTGTGCTGCTGGCTCTGTTTTTGAATTGGAATGTGAGACTTGGTTCGTATCATTCTGAGTTTCAGTAGTTTATTATTCACATTATTCTCATTTTTGTTTTTTTTCCTGTAGTTGCCATTTATCAAGTTGTCGATGAAACTGCTTTCTTACAGAAAGGTTAGGTATTCTAAGACTTTAAAAGCTCAGTACATTTTTAAAGTGTATCATCTCATTCTTCCAAGAAGTAAAATAACATACAGGCTTCTAGGTCTAGCCAGGCCATCTAGAATTAAATCTAGGATTGATAAAGAAATTAGTAATAGAGTAGGAAGATCCTGAAATAAAAGCCTAGAAATAAATCCTTGGAAGAAAGGGTTATTTTCTGAATTTTGAATTGTATCTTTTGAGTTTTAGGAAGTAGGATGGGGAAGTTATTCTAAACATGAGACCTAGTAGAAACAGTATATATACAGACACAGAAGGTCAGGAAGAAACATTCAGAGCAGGTGATGAGTAGCTGATCTGACCAAAATGAGAACCAAGTCAGTGATGAAATCATTAACTTCTCTGAAGCAAGGACCAAATACTTATTTGGTGCTTTCCTTTCTTTATTCTCAAATCACTGTTGTGTTTAGTAATTGCTAGGGGAAATGGTTGAAAACTTTGTGGGTTTTTTTTTAACATTTTCAAGTACTGTTGACATCAAATATTGTTTTATATTTGTTTTAGGTGTACGGCATAGTGGTTAGACATTTCGATTATTTTACTAAGTGATCCCCCCAATTAGACAGTACTCATCTGACATTACAATATTATTGAGACTATATTTCCTATGCTATACTAAAAAACTTTGATTTTTGATGCAGTTGTCAAATTTTTATTGTCTTTGCATATGTGCACATTTCTGCATTTGAAAATTTTTGTAAGAAGAAACTGTTGAATACCAGTGTGCAGTCCATGTCCAGTCTAGACCAGTGGGAGAGTGGGGTTCTAGTCTTTGACTGCCTGTATGGTTTTTCTTGCCAGCTTTTTCATGGTAATTACATTCTTTGACTAAAATCCAAAGTAATTACATTCTTTGACTAAAATCCAATAAAGCTTGAAAGGAGAAGAAACCTAAAATAAACCTGCTTAGAGGGGAAGAGTAACTTTATTTTAAAGTAGCCTTTAGTGGAACTCAAGACAGACAAGATTTCTGCCCTCATGGAATTTATAGTATAGTGGGGAAAACAGGAAGTAAACATATAACCAAGATAATTACAGGTTAGGAAAAAAATTATTAGAAGTTAATAAGCTGGTGGATCTAAAAAAGTGTATTATGGGGAATGACTTCTGTCTAGTTGGAGTCAAGGAGCGTCTCTGTGAAAGGTAACATTCGAGCTGAAACTTGAAACATGAACTTGTGCCAGCCATGTGAAAAGCTGAGGAGACATCTCTGGCTTGGGAACAAGGGCAGACCGGAAAGGCCCAGAAGGGCATGGGCGTTAGAAGCAAGAAGACAACAGAATGAGATGGGAGTGCGAGAGATCCTACAGGGCCTCTTGTATTAGGCAGTACAGGGGTTTGGGGTTTTATTTTAATGAAAATGAGATTTTAAAGGGCTTTATTTAGGACAGGATTTGCTTTTGTTTTTAAGGATCTTTTGTGGAGCGAGAGGAAGCAGGGCAGTTAGGAGGCTATTGGCAATAGCTCAAGATTGGTGGTATCTTAGGCAAGTATAATGGCAGTGGAGATGGAGCAGAGTAGATGGTGTGTTTCAGATATGTTTTGGTGTTCGAATCAGGAGTATTTGCTTAATGTGTTGGCTGAGGAGGAATTAAGGATGCCTTCAGGTTTCTAGCCTAAGCCTTGATGGCTGATGGTGCCATTTGCTAGTTGGAGAAGACTGGAAGAGAAACAGGTGACGAGGGTGGATAACAAGAGTTCTGTGTGGAACCTGTTATGTTTTTGAAATACTCATGAGACATCCAAGTGGAAAGTCAAGTAGGCAGTGAATGTTCAGGTTGAGCAGAGAAGAATGGACATAAATTTGGGAGTCACTAGCATACAGATGGTATGTATGGAACTGGTTGAGATTGTGATCATAGAGGCCTTAAGATTA